AAAGAGTGTTTGCTCTGCCAAAAAGACAAGCCCACCAACCTCCTCCCCTTGGCTGCGGATTAACTGAGAAAAAGAAAGAAAATACATGCAGGGGGTTTTCTCTCATGGCATGGGTTTAAGGGTTAATATGAGCCATAAACACAGGAGCTCTGGGCCTATTTAAAATTAAAAAGCACTTTCTTCTGCCACATCTAGGCCAACACCCAGGGAGGGCTGGGAGTCAGGAGCAAGGACATTGCCCCTTATCCGGAGAAAGTGAGCGTGCCCCAGGGCTCAGCCCTGTCCCCTGCCTGAACCCCCTGAGGCCAGGGGTGCTGGGAGCATTACTGGGACCAACATCACAGCATCTGCGGCAGAGCCTGCTGGGAACAGGGCGGCTGGGGGAGAGCCGGGGAGAGGGGCAAGGCTGCAGGAGGGTGGAAGTGCCGCAGAAGCAGGGGCGAGAGGGAAAGGAGGGAGATTACTGTCTGGTAATTAGAAAGCAAGGAATCCCCTCGGCACCTGACACTATTTTAAACCTATTTTTTACTGAGATTAATTATTGGGCAATCCCAAAGCTTTCTACCAAAAAATGTGCAGCCTGTTGCAATTTCATCTCCAGGGGAAAGGCGTGAATGAGTGTGTTTGGGGAAAGGGCAATTTCGTACCAGGAGGGAGCCATTATTACCGGCAGGGAAAGGGCATTTTAACAGAAGCTGCCTCTTGCTGCTTTGCCTGGCGCTAACGGCCCCCCGGCCCCTGCTCCTTTCCCCTTGAGGCATCTCCCTGCCAGAGCCTTGGCACCTCCCCGCCGTGTGCTGATGTCTCTCTCCTTACTGACACAAACTCAGCAAAGCCAGGAGGAAAAAAACCCTAAAGCCAGCCCCCAACATTTAGCCCCCATTCAAACCTCTCAGAGCCGTAAAAATAGGGAAACATATTTTGAGCGTGATCTGTGTGCAGACATTACCTGCAGGTGTCTGAGCAGTGTGTACGTCTGTCCCATGAAATGACACTTGAACCATTTTTGGGCCCCTTTTGCTGTCTGGATGGCAGAAAGTGAAAGTTTTGACGATAGGAAATCAGGGTAGGTTTAGGGCAAGCCGGGAGCCATGCAGAGGGGGCAGTGGCTCTTGCAGCGGCTCTGGTACTACAATGCAGCGAGTGCCAAAGGACTCATGCAGCCCCTCGCTTTTGGGGTAAATCCTGTGGATACCAGACCTCGACTGTCTCACTGCTCTGAGAAGGGCTGCTTTTAAAGCCCTTTGCAATCCATCAGCTAATTAAAAACATGAGTGGCTGCTAAAAGCCTCTCTGCGAGGACACACCAGGCAGCTGGCAGAGGCAGTGTTTTGTGCAGGAGTGGAGGACGTGCTGCCGAAGGCTCCCCTGCCCATCCCCAGGCCCAGAGACCCCCAGCCCTGAGGGGTTTGTCTGCCTGTAGAAGAGCTTGAGCATGGGCAATAACGCCTCCCTGCTTACTAGTCTCGATGTCTCACTCAAAATATTTCAAATTTTTCACCCTGAAGTCCCCCTAGTCATGTCGCTCCAGGATACTCCTCCTCTTTTTCTGTGCACTCGGCCTTGCAAAAATTATTGTTTCCCTTTGCTGGGTTTAATTTTCATTTGAAGAAAGTCTCATCATTCAAAGCCTATGATCACAGTTTCAAGAGGTAGCTCTTCACCACAGCTTTCTACACAAATTCACCTGTCAATAAGGTGTTGTTAACACTCTTCAAGGATTAACAAAATTTCTTGGAAGTTTTTTGGTTAGAAACTCAGCCGATGATTTTACCATGGAGAGAAAGGCAGCGGGGGACTCTGCCTGCAGGGCACTGATGGCACCTTCTAGTGTCCAGGCAGTTTGGTGTAGGGTGGCCTGTAACCAGGGGTTTCTGCTCAGGGTGACTTTTCATCCTCATTGCACTGTGGTTTTATTATCTGCTGACTGTTTCCACTGAGAGTGCTAACCTTGCTTGCCGAAAGCAAAGCCAAAATGACTTTAGCTTCCCCTCCAGAGAAAGTGTTAACCCGAGGGTCCTGAGGGCTGATGCACCAGACAGCGGTCCTGGGGGATGCATCCTCCTCCGAGCAATTCTTCCTTCTCCCACAGGCCCCGATGACACAGTGGTGGTGTCAGCGACACGGTGGACAGTAGCAGCTCCTGGTGCTGTACCTATACCCTCCCTTCCTTGGTACCAGACTGCTTGGGCAGGGTACATCACCGCTGCCAGGATCCCATTTCCTCCAAGAAAAAGCTGTGAGCAAGGGCTGACCGGGTCCGACCTGCAGGCCTCCAGCCATGAAGCTGCCTCTGAGCATCTCGGGCCAGGGCTCTCCCCTTGTCGCCCCTCTTGGCAGGGGGATAAGGAGGACCCTCCTCCTCCTTTACGGGAGAAGTCACACAGAGTTCACACAGCCCTCTCTGCAAGGGCTCAGGCAATCAGCAGATGCTGCTTTCCCTCCTCTCACCCCTGGTTTATCCATTAGTTTTGGACTTTTGTCCCCTGGCTTCTGGCAGAAGGACAGCCTGGGGGAGAGGGAGGGGTTTCCTGGCAAAGCCCTGTCCCCACAGGGTGGCAACCTTTCCTATGCTCTCTGGCACACCAAAGGGCTCCCTTTGCCCCCCCTGCCCCGTGTTTCAGCATCTCCCCAGAGAGACAGAAACCCAGGGCACAAGGCAAGCAGGCACATGGACCCAACGAGGGTTGCACAACTCTGGCATTTCTTGGTTTCTGATTGATTTGCAAGTTAGCCAGTGTTACACAAAGATTGGGAGTAGTCAAAGTTTACCAGCATTTCCCCCCCTTTTTTTTTTCTTTAAAGCAAATTCTGTTACATGCGACTGCTATAACCCCTCATCGCCTTGGCATTGTCATCAAGATTTGGGCTCTGCCACACAGGTCTCTACGATCTGAGGTCAAAAAAGCAGTAACTGCCTCCACTGGCAACAAAAAGGGCTCCAAACACATCCAAAAAACCCCAGTATTCTCTCAAAAGCGTGTAACACTGACACACTGGGCACACCTCTGCAGTTTATCGCTGCTGTGTTGGGCACGTAGATTTGGGAGACACAGCCAGAGGAGACTGTGATGACATGAGCTCTGCCACCCCACCCCAACCCAGACTTTGTCCCTCCAGTGTGACCTTTTATCAGGACCGGCTTGGAAAACCACCAGCTTGCGTGAGAAGAGCAGGTAACTGCCAGGTCCCTCGTTGCCCAGCTCCTGATCCAGCCACAAGGCTTTTCCCAGGGGAAGTGCAGTCGGGTCTGTACACAGCCCATGCAGCAGGGCTGGAGCCAGGGGGCAGCCCTC